GGGGAACAGCCAGACGTCAAAGAGGGCAGGGTTGGTTTGCCTGTGCGGCATTGGTCAGGTACGGTCCGTACTTTTGTATACCTGCACATAATTTCCTCCTCTAGCTGAAAGAACGCACTCGTTCATATACGCAGAGAAGAAAACACACCACTCTGCCCTGTCTTTGCTTCAAAAGAACGTGCCCTGTGCCACCTGACCACTCTACCCACTCAGGACAGTGCCTCCTTTGTCTGGTCTCAGAGGTCAGAGGCACACATACTTTGGTAGAGCAATGAGGGAAAGGGATGGAGTGTAACTGTGCAGGGGCAGAATAACCATGGCAACCATGGTTTGCCAACCCACTCTGTCTTGTCACGGCCTGGGAGCCCCATGCCCACTGAACAGGGTGTGCTGCTCCTGGCTCCCGCACCTGCCACCAGCAGGATTTGAACTGCTGGCTCTTCCAGCCCTTCACTGCAACATGAATTCACACTCTCTTTCCAGGTATGCATATAGCATCTCCAGGAAGCATCACTGTTCAACTGCGGGGCCCTGGCAAGACTCCTAACAGTACTCTTGCTCTCAACTCCTCTCCTTCGTCCTTCAAAACATGGTACCTTTTGCAAGCAGCTCAGGTGTCTCAATATCTGATGAGGAAACCTCCCTATGTGTGCAATTATATCTTTGGCCTTGTATTTATAAATACAGCTTCACTAAGGAGCTGAAAGAACTTGACATCAATCCCTCATTCATACTTTGATGGCAAGGCAGAGGCAATTTCATCTCCACTTTACCAGTGGGGAAACTGAGACAAAATAAAGTTGAAGAATTTACACTCTGGTAGTCAGTGGTGAGGCTCTCAGAGCACTGGCTCTTTTAGCATGTACCTTCAAGTATGCACAGATAGAGAACAGACTGTCCAGTAGGCCATATACTTTTTCTTTTCTCTTTCAATAAAAATCGACAGTATGATATAAAAGGAAAAGAGAGACAAAGGTGGAAAAGAGAGACAAAGGTGGAAAAGAACTGTTATCAACCAAACGATGCCAAAAGAAAGAAAACTTTAAAAGAGCGTGCTACATGTCAATTTCCTGCTTCATGGTTTTTTTAACCCAGAAAAAATGGACTTTGTCTGTAGCAGTCAGGAATCAGATCTGAGCTGGAGCTACACTGCTGTATGGCTCTGTGAGGCACTTTTAAACTTCCTAGTTCCTTATCTGAAAATGAGGACAGGGGTGGTTATCTCAAAGGGATGCTATGGGGACTACATGAAATCTGGTACAGAGACAGTGTTAACAAGGCAAATGGTTAGTAAGTCGGTTCTTATCCTCACTTACGCTACCGGATGAGTAACAGATCCTGACTTCAGTCACTGTCAGCATAACATTTTGTTTTCAAAGCCATCTACCATGAATACCAACCATGGAAACCATTCTCTTGACCAAGAACTTGATAGTCTTTCTGACAGTACAGGAAGACCATTAGAGCCACAGTAATTCTAGATTTTGCATCAGACCCTGAGAAATCTCGGTCCACTGGCAGTTTGAAAAATAAACCCATGATATGCACAACCGTAAGTCACAGATACAGACATGGTGAGTATACTCCAGAACAGCGTACAGTGGCTACACCTGAGTGCCCTATTATTCTATTAAATTTCAATTTAGGATCTTTGTAAAATTATGGCCAGAAAACGACAGCACTGTTTCATTAGAAAAAGCAATTACCTTATATCCAGCCTGTCCCATTTCTAAGAATCTTTCCATTATTACATAAACTACCTAAGTGAATTCTGGAGCGCCTCCAGGCAAGAGGACAGAGCTTGCTGCGATCTGTTGATATGATAAGGACAAGTCATTGCTACAGGAAAAACTGACTAAGGGATTTAAACTATTTTTGAACCTCAATTGGAAGAATCTCGTTCTGATCCATATGAAATACTGGCTTTATATTTGGGTTGCAAGATAAAATCAGAAAGAGATTCTTACATCCTTTATATTTTTATGACTAAAATGTAGACCCGTACATACGTAGTACAGAGGTTGTTGACTTCGATTCTGGAGACGTATTCAGTTTGGGATTTTTTTTTTAAATCACTCATAGCCCAGGGACTGCTTTTTAGATTATTTAAAGATGCAATGGCTGTAGAATACTGTCTCATGAGAAAAAAGAACTGATCAATTTCGAGGTTACATGGAATGAAACGGAAAGACCTCACTCACTTCTTAAGAAGAAACTACAGGTCACATCAATTTCAAAATCAGATTTCTGGAAACACTCACTACGGAAATTATCAAGAAACATTCAAAAGCAATGCAAATAGGGAAGATTCATCATGTGGCCAGACTAAACACTGCTTAAGTGTCAGTGACATGCGGGTTGGGGGAGTTAATCTGTCCAGTCACTGTTTCAGGTGTCACTTGTTCATGCTTACTCTTTCTTTTTAAGTGGCCCCTAAAGCCAGACACAAAGCAGCAAGATGTGAAAACGTCCTCATTTCTCCGCCCTGGACAGCTCTACTCATTCATGAACAAATGTCTGAATGCCTTTTAAGGAGATGAGGCCAAGGCAAGCACTCCCTTCTCTCTACAGTAGACCAGTACAATCACACGATGCCAGATCTGCTGGAGAGGTGCACAGAATGCAATCTCTGTGGACAAAGGTGCAGATGGTACCATTTATAGGCTGGCATGGTTCGCATGATAAGGGTATTGATTCTACTTTTCTACTGAGTACATACAATTACAACACGTAAGCTTTGCTCAATGTTTTGTGTCGGATACAAAAGTTTAGTTTAACTGGAAAAAAAACAAACAACCCTAATTTTCAAACAACAAATAACCAGTCCTTTGGGGAAATGGGCACTTCAAAACTAAGAAATGAGAGTATTTGATAAAGTTCTGCAAATAGTTTATTGGCTTTTGCTTTTAGTCCCAGAAATGACTTCAACGGCATGAAAGTATCATAGTGCCTTTGTCCCAGCCCAACAGGAATCACAGAACTGTTTCCTAAGAATGATTAGATGGCATCTACGTGAAGAAATTTCTCTGAAAACACAAAAGGAAATGGAGAAAGAAGCAGAGAGAGAGGAAAATTGGTATAATAGGGGAAGGGCAGGGAAAATTGGGATTAAGCAAGCAAAAGTAATCACAGAGGATACAAATAAATTAAAGGAAGCACAGAGAACCTAGTTAAAGACTAATTAACAGTTATTTTTTAAATAAAAAGTCCCCTTTCATAAAAAAATAAAAATCAATAAAAGCGAACTAAAGCGTCTGTGACTTCTTGGCTAGAGAAGTAAGGTATGTTTTAAAGAGCAGTCCCCACAGAATGACTTTCCAGGCTTACATTTTGGTGACGCTTGGTATCCATCTCTGTAAAACTAGCTCGTTATCTCACCCCTTTTCTCCTCTTTGTTGGCTGAAATGAGGCCTATTTCTTACAGAAACACAGAACATATCACTGGAAAAAATATCCCAATTAAACATGCAGAAACAAATATGATTACCAATAGCAAGAAAACATATGTCATCACTGGTAAAATCTATTAAAACATTTTAAGGCAAAGATGTGAGTTTAATTTCCTAGTGAAAGATCCACTACCTTCCAATAAAAAAAAAATGCAGTAAAATGAACTATAAAGAGAAACTCTCTGCCACTTGCTACAAATGTCATGACCAGCTATGAGAACAGAAAGGGAGGTGAACCAATCAGAAGCATCAACTGGTATTTTATGGTTGCACCAAACACAGTAATGCATTTAATTCACTTCTTATATTTAATATAAGCTTCAGTCAACACATACATACAGTAAACCTTCCAGCCCAAGGAATGAGACAGTAACACAAGCTACAGCGAAATCCCTGGCACAGGGCTTGGCTCACAGGTTCTGTTTACCAAATATTCACTGAATGAATAAATAATCTAAATATCATTTATATTTGCTTTATATTTTGGCATGGAAAGTGCCTGCTTTTCAATGAAAGGCACCCCTGGGCCTACACAAGGATTTTCCTCCTCCGACGGGTGTGGGCAGAGGCTGCGATTTGCAAGTATTGTTTATCCTACAGTGAACCTCTGAATCTGGAGGAATGAAGTGGTGTCTTTGGTTCTTAGCCTTGTGACCTCAGACTCAGCTTCTCCCTGTGAAAGCCAAGTGCAATAGCCCAGAACAGAGGAGGTAAACATCTTGCGTGCAAGTGATGGGTGTGTTGCATTTATAAAGAATTGAGGGGTTTAGAAATACATGTATTTCAACGGGAATGAAGATTATATAAACTATTAAATATCCTACAAACCACCAAACTATTATATATTAAGCTACTATTAACAAGTAATTAAGTAGATTACCTCAATCTCTGTACAAACTGGAAATTAGAATTTTTTTCTGGAGTAACTGACCATCTCACACACAAACAATTTACACTGGGCAGCATGTAACATCTAGTGATGCTTTTCTGATCAAGAACACCTTAAAGAGAACAGTGCTTACCCCAGACTTCCACTTATATGATCTCCTAAGAGCACTTGAGAAACACAAGTGAAACTCTTTCAACATGTTTATGACAGAGAAGGGAAAGGACCAAGGAAGATTA